TCAAAATATATTAAAAAATCTGCATTAATTCCATAATAATCCATAAAAAGTGTCCTTATGAGGGAGGGCTACATTTTACCAATACACATTTTATTACCTTAAAWTAATTTCTGTGGGACCTTTAATTCTCTAATTTCCTAATCTCTATGACTACTTATGGTYTTTAGAATTGCAATATAAAATTTTTCTTTTTCTAAAGACAAGAAATTCCCCAGATGTTATAACCTTAATGTCACCCACATCCCACATTCTAATTCTCTTACTTCTCACAGCCAATCCACAGTACTCTGAAAAATTAAGCATGCTTAGCTACCAGAGGAAAAAGCCAAACCCACCAAATTTCTAAAATTCATGATGGAATGTCCCTGTCCCTGATCAGGCACCATCTGCTGCAACATGTGACTAAATTAGACAGGACCACTCCAGGTGAATTTRGGTTAACATGAATAATTTGGGTTACACAACTCAGAAAGTATCTTTTTCTTAGGGTCCAGTGACAGCTCTTGACCTAAGGGGCCCATTGGAAAGAGAGAGAGCCACTTGAATTCTTTATTCTTATACAGCGGGCACACAAATGGGTTTGATGGAACATCCCATCCAAAAAAGGTAAGGGGTAGTGTTACAAAGCAACAAGAAGGCAGCCTGCTCCCACAGCTGTGCTCCTCTGTTGAACACAGATGGGGTCCACCTGCTTCCTGGTCAGGGAAGCCAGTCTCCACATTTCCATCACTCAGAGCTAGGGGGCGCTCAGTTCCTATGTGGTAGTTCCCGACAATCAGCTACAAAATTATCCTTCAAGAAACTCAGTCTTCGGGCTGGTGCTGGGGCTGTGGCTCAGTGGCAGAGCACTTGCCTAGCATGTGTGAGGCTCTGGGTTCAATCCTTAAGGCCACATACAAAAAATAAATAAATAAGCAAATAAAATAAAAGCCTGCTTGTAGGAGACCAACCTTACACGTGACTGAGTTATACTCCCCGGCTGGGGGTTCGAGGGTCCATGTCTCTGTGTCTCATGCATGGGTGTGTCTTGCTACAGCCCCATGGGTGGAGCTATGCTCACCTGTTCCTTTGTAATATAACCCCTTGCCCTGTTTAGGATAGAATCTTCCATGGAAGTGCCTTGTGTGTGTCCCCTTCTCTTACTGTGCCCTTGGGTGTGGCCTACCCAGGTGTCAGTCAACCTGCTGACAGTGGGCATCATGAAGATACTCAGCCCCCTGAAACCTGACCCCTTGCCTCATTTAAATAACTTCTCCTCAATAAAAGGGGTCAGCGTGTGTGCTCTCTCTCTCTCTCTTTCTGTGGACCCTTAAGGTCAGAGGAGCCGACACAGCGACCCCAAAGAAAAAGGTATTTGTGTTTCTTGTGTGGTTATTTCGTGCAGCCCAGTTAGCCCAGTTTGACTGGAGTGACCCCTGAGCCTTTTAGTCATGAGAACAAAAACCTGGCACCTGCTGTCCATCTACAACTAAAGAAATTAATTTAAAAAAAAAAAAAAACCTCTATCTCCAGCTAAGAGTATCCCTAGCAATTATATGATATCCAAGTGTTGAAATCTATTTGCCAGAAGTCCTGGTTAAGTGACAGTGGGAAGGACCAATGTGGAGCCCACAAAACATATGGAGGTGGAACAAGAGAAAGGGACACACAAAGGGCGTTTCCATGGAAGATTCTATCCCAAATAGGGCTAAGGGGTAATATCACAAAGGAACAGGTGAGCATAACTCAACCCATAGAGCTGCAGGAAGGCATTCCTACCCAAGAAGACACATTTTGCTACATTTTTATGATTTTCAAGATTGGGGCCACCTTCTATGGCCACTTTGATGTGGCCAGATCACTTGGAAGTGACACAGAGCCTCACCAATCAGGAAAGGAAAATGCTGGTCACATGGTGTGGCAGCCTCTCAACAGCAGCTCCCATAAGGGGTGGGGGGGGCAGGTCCAGCAAGAAAATAAAAGAGCACACCTCAAACCCGGTATTTTTGGGGAGAAGCCATTTTAGTGAGGCAAGGGGTAGGGYTCCAACAAACAAGTGGGTGTAATCTAACCCCATGGGGTGACGCCCACTCCTGGAGCTGCACCTCTCTTATCCAAGCAGAGGTAAGGTCCAATTGTATCCCAATGGGTGCAATACCTCTTTACTCAGGACTGAAAGGTGTGTTCGTAGCTCCTGTCAAGAGCGGCTCCTGACTGTATAGCAACAGTGACAGTGGCAGGGCACAAGGAAAATGAATCATTCAGGGTGACTTGTCCTTCAGCCTACAGGTGCCAGGTTGCTGKTCGGGCTGTCCAGGAGGAGTGGGGAGGGACGCAGACCCTGACCGCGAGATGGAGGAAAGACCTCGTGCACGTGTGACAGCAGGGCAGCACAGAGAGCAGGCAAAGGGACCTGGCAATCCTTTCCAGAGCGGACTACCATTTTCTCTTCCCACTATCGGTGTGGGATCCGCTTTTTCCCACATCCTAGCATTTCCTATCAGATCTCAAAAGCCTGGCGCGATGGTGCACACCTATAATCCCAACGACTCTGGAGGCTGAGGCAGGAGGATTCTAAGTTTGAGGCCAGCCTCAGTAATTAGTGAGACCACGTTTCAATAATAAAAAGGGCTGGAGATGTAGCTTTGTAATACAACTCCCCTGGGTTCACTCTGCAGCACCACCTCTCTCCCCCCAAAAAAAGAGGTACTAAAAAGAAGAAAAATACGTCCTACCTAAATTTTTCATTACTAGCAAAATGAAATTGGCCCCTTATTTTCAAAATGATCATGCCTCCCAGTCATGGTGGCGCCTGTAATCCCAGCAACTCAGGAGGCTGTGGTAGGAGGATCACAAGTTCCAGGTAAGCCTCAGCGATTTAGCAAGGACTTCAGCAACTTAGTGAGGCCCTATCTTAAAAAATAAAAAGTGCTGGGGATGTTGCTCAGTGGTAAAGCACCTCTGGGTTCATTCCCCAGTAGAAAAATAATCTCAAATGTCATGAATAGTTAAATGAATGCAAAGTAAATTTTAAATCCAAACTTAAACCTAAACAACTGAAAGAATTAATAAATGTTTGTTATATTTGAATATTAAGTTTTGGGAAGGTTTGTAATGCAGTAAAAACCGATACCAATAAAGGCAATTTACTAAATAATTGAGGTCTCTTTATGAGCAGTATGCAGACTTAGAATGTCCATGTAAACAACAAAAATGAGTGTATGATTGACTTAAAAAATCAGAACAAGTTGCATAATACTGCAAACAATGTGAACAATTTTTTAAAATGTAGACACATGCAATTCACAATCTTCAGTGGATATAAAATTGAACATATAATTGTGGTTCTCAAGATTAGATTTGGATAATTTTTACAATTCTCAATAGGTTGAATATTATTACTTGACATTAGCTTATTGATTGATTGATTGGGGATTGAACCCAGGGCATCTACTGATGAGCATCAGCTCCAGACCTTTTTCATTTCATTTTGACAGGGTCTTGCAGAGTTGCCCAGGCTGGCCTTGATCTTGCAATTCTCCTGCCTCAGCCTCCCAACTAGTTGGGATTACAGGCATGCACCACCATGCCTGACTAGCCTTGTCAGTTTTTGACTGTCTCCATTTTAGTTGAAAACTCAGTTATGGAATTATCCATTGTGAAAGACCGAAGGAAAAAATTGGGACAAAAGGAAGTCTCGGAAGCCTGTAGGACAACAGCAAACATCACAATATGTGAAATAGGATTCCCAGGGAAAAGGCTAAAAAAAGAGGAAAAAATTATTTGAATAATGACTCAAAACTTCCCAAGTATGATAAAATATACTTAGTCTTCAGATCCAAAATTTCAGACCTCTCATAAGATCCACATAGGGATACATCATAGTCAACTTACAAGAGACACCAGAGCCTACTCTTTCTGCCCCATGAGGTAGAAGAATGCATTGTCTACCAGACAGAGAGGGGGTCCTCACTGGAACCTAACCATGCCGCCAGGTCTTCTGGCCTACAGAACCGTGAAAAAATGTCTTTGTTTAAATCTGTCTAGTATTCTGTTAGGGTAGCCCTAGCAAACTAAGGGCTATATTTTCACTCTTTTAAGTGTTGGAAATCACTTGGTGTTTGGTTTGCCACACCTCTATTATTTGCTAAAATTTATGTTAATCACAAGTGTTAGTATTAAAAACACAACTTAAGGGGCTGGGGCTCAGTGGTAGAGTGCTCGCCTAGCATGTGCGAGGCCCTGGGTTCGATCCTCAGCACCACATATAAATAAAGCTATCGTGTGCAACTACAACTATAAATAAATAATAAAATGAAAACACAACTTAAGAACAATTTCAATGAAACTCAAATGTGAATAATTTAGTACATTATAGAATAGCCACTTGAAGACTCTGTAATGATAAAACTGCATAGTTGATTAATCAGATTAATAATGAAAGAGGTCTTTAAAAAATATAATAGCTTTATTGATATAATTCATATGATAAAATTCACCCACTTACACTATACAATTCAGTGATTCTTAAGAATTGTACAACCATTACCACAATCAATTTTAGAACATTTCCATCATCCTGAAAATAAATTGTATACCCATTAGCAGTGTCTCCCCATTTCTTCCCACCAATCTCTCCACTAGCTCTTATGGTGGACATTTCGTATTAATGCAACCAAATAATATGTCGTCTTTGGTGACTGGTTATTCAGCATATTTGCAAGGATCATTCCACCATGCGACCAGCACACTGGTTTCATTAAAGAGGTTCATGGCATAAAAGTTAACTAGTGAGATCAAAATAAAACACACAGACTCAATTACCTTTTTCTATGACCAGGTCCCAGACGACTCTCACCTCTCTGGCTCACATCTCAAACCACCCGGTAGGGCAGCAAGGCTTACTCAGGGCTAGCAGGAGAGAGAGCATGCCAGGGAGTGGCCTTTTATTGGGGAACAGGAAATTCAGGGGAAAATTCCATCCAAAGAAGGTCGAGGGGGGCAGCATTCCAAGGTCAGGGTCAGTGGTCAGTCACACCCCCACACGGACAGGCTCTCACACCTGGAGAGGGTGGGGAAAGCTCCAACACAGTTTGGCCAGAGCGCCTCACACCCAATCCGGGAGGTGCCCAATCACGTGGGAGAATGGCTTCCCATAGCTCATTTATTTTAGGACATATCAGTTCATAATTCCTTTTTTATTGCCACCCAATGCTTGGTTACTTGAATATACTAATCCATTCCTCAGCTAATGAACATTTAAACTGTTTTTGGTTTTTTGTACTTTGGGACAACCCAGGGTGCTCTATCACTGACCACCAAGCCCCCTTTTTTTCTTGAGATAAGGCCTCAGTATGTGGCCTCAAATTTAAGGAGYAGCAAGCATTGTTGAGTTCTCATTTCTCTTGTGTATATATCTAGGAGTAGAATTCTGGGCCATGTGACAATTCTGTGCTTAACCTTGGAGAAACTGCCAGATTATTTTCCAGTTGCCACATCATTTCATGTTCCCACCAGCAAGTTGCTAGGGTCCCAACTTCACAACCTCAACAACTCTCCCACACCAAGTGGGCATCCTATAATCAGTTCTGACACTATTCTAAGTTAGTGCAAACTCCACAAGTGCAAGGGCTCAGTGCTGCAGGACCACCTTCACTTCAGATGCCGGTCACAAGTCTCAGGCTAACTGGACATCTAACCTACTGGCATTAAACTGAGAGGCCCCATGATACTCCTCATATGCAATAATTTACTAGAATGTTTACAAAAATCTGAGAAATTTAACTTAAGTTTAACGGTTTATTATAAAGGATACAAATGAACAGTCAGACAAAAAGATACAAAGAGTGGAAGGGCCCAGAGCTCAGAAGCCTCTGTACCCACGGAGCTGGAGTGTGAGAACCTTTCAGCACACAGGTGTTTTCACCAATTTGGACAATCTACAGTTTCATTATGCAGGAGTTCAATCTTCAGACCCTTCTGCCCAGGATTCTACCCTATAATCACTTGATCTTTATGGTGACCAGTTCCTTCCTCTATCACCTTATTAGCATGTACTAAGGTGTGCTTAGAAGGACCTCATGAATAACAAGACATCCCTGTCATTTATGAAACTCCAAGGCAAGGTTTTTAGCTCTCTGCAAGGAATCAGGGACAAAGACCAAAGATATTTCTTACAATAATAATCAGTGCCATAGAAAGCAGTTTTTCTAAATTATGGAACTGGGGCTGAGAGTATAGCTCAGTGGTACAGTACTTTCCCCTAGCATGCTTGAAGGCCCTGGGTTTGATATCCAGCATCAATGGAAAAAAAAATATGGACTCATTGGCAAAGCAACTAGACGTGGGGTATGAGGTAGCCTGCCTGGAAATGCACACCGGGCGTATTGTCTGACACACGGAGGTTAGACTCAAAAGCACTTAAATGTTGGACTTCACTGTTTTCAGGCTCTCCAATATTTTGCCAAAGGTGGTCTATATTTAACATGTTCAGAGAATTTTTGTTTTCTATTTGATTTCCTGACAAATCATAAAGCAGGATGTGTTACTAAATCTTGTTGTATTTATTACCATAAAGATATTCTCCAGTGTAAACACTTGACACTAATTGAGGTCTTATTTCTGGGTAAAGGCTTTGCTATGGTCACTGTTATTTCTGCCAAATAATAAGCCAATAATTCATGAAGAGCCCTGAAAATAAAGTCTTTCCAAAGATGACTTTCTTAGTCTCTACATTCACAGAATTTATCTAGTTATAGCCTTTCCAGATTATGAGCTAGAGATTTTGTACAGGGGATCTCCATACTGAGTATATCTGAGTTTATCTGTTTTCAYTGATAGAAAATGAGAGGTAAAGGATCACCAAAGGCACTATCATATTTACTGCAACCAGGCATATCTCCTGGGAGGATCCTTCTGAGGGCACCCAGTTGGCTGTGCCGTGATTACATTCCAATCGGCCAGAGACACAGATGTTTAGTGAAGTCTGAGTTGCCACAGAAGACATTTCCACCCTGCACAGTGTTTCAGGGATGCATGAGTTCACTCCTAAGTGATGTGCTGTGACTCTCTATTAAAAGAATTTTCAACTTGAATGAATCGATCCGATTCTCTGGTGTGCATTTTCTTGTGTTTAACAAGGTTCGACAAGTGGGAGAAGGCTTTCTCACAATCACTGCATCCGTAGGGCCTCTCTCCAGTATGAGTTCTTCGGTGTACATTGAGCACCGACTTTGTAGTGAAGGCTTTCCCACATTCACTGCACTGATAGGGCTTCTCTCCTGTGTGAATTCGCTGATGGGTAATGAGGCCATATTTGTGTGAATAGGACTTCCCACACTCAGTACATACAAAGGGAGTCTTTCCTGTGTGACATCTCTCATGTTGTATGAGGCATATCTTCTGGCTGAAGGCTTTACCACATTCATTGCATTCATAGGGTTTCTCTCCTGTATGAGTTCGCTGGTGTATAACAAGAGTGCGCTTGGTGGTGAAGGCTTTTCCACACTCACTGCATATATAGGACTTTTCTCCTGTGTGAGTCCGCTGATGTATGATGAGAGTGCGTTTCACAGTGAAGCCTTTTCCACACTCACTGCATATGTAGGATTTTTCCCCTGTATGAGATCTCTGATGCACAATGAGATTGCTCTTCACAGTAAAGCCTTTTCCACATTCATTACAAACATAGGGTTTCTCTCCAGTGTGAGTTCGCTGATGCACAACTAGATAGCGCCTCATGATRAAGCCTTTTCCACATTCACTGCATATATAGGGTTTCTCCCCTGTGTGAGTTCGCTGGTGGACGATGAGATTGCTCTTCACAGTGAARCCTTTTCCACATTCACTGCATACAAAAGGTTTCTCTCCACTGTGAGTTCGCTGATGAGCAATTAGATAGCGCTTCATTGTAAAGCCCTTTCCACACTCGCTGCACAGATAGGATTTCTCTCCTGTCTGGGACTGCTCACTGACAGTGAGGCTGCTCTTCACAGCAGGACCCTTCCTGGACTCGCTGAGTACACAGGGAAGGTCTCCTACATGAGTCCTCTGATGCTTAGTGGTTAGGACACTTCTGGACGATTTCTCACCTTGACCACTCCCAGGTTTCTCTCCTGTATGGATGCTCCCATGATACGGGAGCGGAGACTTTCTGGTGAAGGTTTTCTCACCTTCAGTGTATGCAAGGGGTTTCTCAATTTTTTGAGTCTTCTGATGTTTGAACGCTTGACATTTAATACCTGTGCATTTTGTACTTTCAGCGAGTTTCATTTCAGTAAATGTATGTTCATCTTTATTGTGTAGGTAGATTTTCTCACCTTCATTAAAACCAACAGGGTTATTTATTTCATGYCTTCTCTTCTGGTTAACTAAACCTAATCTTAATTTCAAAGTTGTATCATGATTTTGCAGTAGAATAAAATGTGTTTTGCTGAAATGAGTGATATTTTTAAATGCATTCTGATCACTGCATTGATGCATACTCTTCAGGAATCTTTGGTTTTGAGAGTACTCCTGCAGGTGGCCATCAACTTTCCCGATTTCTATGAAACAAGAGAATAAATTTTTCCATGAGAATGGTATGCAGTAAAAATGCCTGGAAGATGATCTGGTGGGTGTTCTAGTTTGGATCTAGAAAGTTTCCCAGAAGCTTGTATGTTGAAAGCATGGTTCCCAATGCAGCAAGGTTCAGAGGTGGGGTTTTAGGCAGTGACTGGATCATGAGGGCTCTGAACTCGTCAGTTAATTCATCCATTTGATCAGATGGATTAATTCAGCAATGGYAAAATGGACTACTAAGAAATGGGATCAAGTTGGAGGAAGTAGGCCATTCTCTGGAAGGGATTATTTTTGCTGGCCCCTGCCTCTCTTTCTGCTTCTGACTGTCATGAGATAAGCAGCTTGCCTCTGCCACACCCTTCCACTAGGATGTTTCTGCCTTTGAGTGAACCATGAGCTGCATCCTCTGAAACCATGAGCCAAGATAAGTCTTTCCTCCCCTAAGCTGGTCAAGTATTTTGGTCAGAGCAATGAAAAGCTCACAAACACATAAAGTGGGGTACAGCTCTTTATTGTCAACCAAATGATTCTAGTAGCAAAGAAAAAAATAAAGATACAAGATGAAATAAACAAGAACTAAAAAAGAGACAATGGAGGCACATATTTAAAACTAAACACCTTAAAAATAAAAGTTCCCAAAKGGGGAGGTAAATATGAGGAGAAGCTGTTTAGGTATCTTCAGATGCTTCACAGCAGTGACACCTCCCTCAATGAGCAGACCATGACTTTCACAGCCACTCCCCTACTGCTTCTCACTAACTGCTATGGTTTGAATGTGTGTCCCCAAGAACTTCATGTTGGAAACTTAAAAATCTCCAATGCAACAGTATTAAGAGGTGGGACCTTTCAGAGGTAACTAGGCTCCAAGGGCTTTCATGACTGGATTAATGGTGATGACATAAAAGGGCATGAGGCTGCAAGTCTGACCTCTTGCTGTCTCTCCTGCACACTCTTGCCCTTCTGCCTTCTGCCATGTGATGAAGGTCCTTGCCATACACACTCTTGCCCTTCTGCCTTCTGCAGCATGAAGGTCCTTGCCATACACAAACCCCTTGATCTTAGACTTCTCAGCCCGCAGAACTATAAATAATATATCTCTATTCCTTATAAATTACCCGGTCTCAGGTATTTTTATAGCAGCACAAAAGGAACTAAGACACTCACCTGAACAGGGTCCATTCGGGACTTCATCTTCTATCATCCACAGTTCTTCTCCTTGCTCCAAATTGGAGAGTGCATGTGGTTTGATATTTTGAAACCCTGTTTATAAGAAAAAAAATAGGTGACTTAGACACATTGAATAAGGGTACAGGACRTCAAGTGGGAAAATATTATATCTGAGAGACAAAACTTCTCATATGCAAAGTAAAAGTTTTTTGTTTTTTGTTTTCCAGAACAGGAGTGGAAATGCCACTTTGGGGAACTAAATAGCACTTTACAGAACTAAAAATCTAACACTTCAGAATACCACAATGAAGGCAAAGCTTTGAATGGTGACAGAGGAGAGCATGTGACTTTCTAAGTGACACAGGGGACCTAACCTTACCTACTGAGACCAGATTATTATAATTTTCCAACATCACATCCTGGTACAGATTCTTCTGAGAAGGATCCAGGAGCTGCCACTCCTCCAAGGTGAAATTCACAACCACATCCTCCAATGTCACCAATTCCTGTAAAAACAGAGTTTTGTTTAAAGGAATGTAAATTCCAAWCGTTGATTTAAAGAAATATGAGGGAAGTTTTCTAATTTTCACCATCTAGCCTACTTCTTTAGACCTTTCTCAAATAAATTTTGGAAGGAGTAAAATTCATACATTTTAGTACAATTTCCAAATAGTAAATATATGCAAATAACATCAGGAAAATTTAAACATGCCTCCATTACAACAGACTTCATGGTCAATAGGAGAATAGATCATGAACAGACTCCACATTCTCAATTTATAAGAGTGCTTTTAAATAAATGTTAAAGAAAAAAATCATACAAGATTTGTCTAAAATATAAGAGATCATTAAAACTGATTAAGAAGATTTGGGTTAAAGAGAGCTTCCATGTCCATAGATCATCTCTGAAACCCCAGCAAGGAAATTTCCTAAGAGACTGCTCTGCTTTTTCCCAAAAATCAATACACATCATTTTGTTTTTCTGGTTGTGATGGCTCTTGGAGATGTTAGATGCAAGGTGATAGCTACTGTAACTTGCAGGACCCACAGAGTCATTATTATGTTCGAAACAGTAAGTCATTAGTGGAACAGTATATTCCTCACCCCAATTTGCCCTAATTTTGAAGTTAGGTTCAAAATTAATTTCTCCCCAGAACCCAATTATTCAATTTATAATTATTTCAGTTGAACAGATTTTTTTTTTCAGGCTTCCAGAAGTCTATCAGAAAACAAAGGAAAAGTACAACAAAAATCAAAAAATCACCTGAGGCTCAATCATTTTCCTCTATACCCAGGAAATGATGGATAACAGGATTCTAAGTTTTATATCTCTTCTACTACAGCCCTGGAGTCATTATGTTCAGAAACCTTGGCATCCAGTTTAAGGTTCCTTAGAAATGGTAACACTCTAGGAGTTCTTCCTTCTCCCTTCATTCTTCTCCTCCATTCTTCTTTATTCTGTTGAGCAAGGACCTATGGGCAAAAGAGCAAACTCACTTTAATTGTATATTCTCCCTGGGTCCAGATGTTGTCCTTGTTGCCATGCATTTAGCTTAAGTAAAGGACATAAGTATTTCACACTTTGCCTTTACTTTGCACCTCAAAGGATTCACACCCTGGGGCAATACAACAAGGCTCTACTGTATTGAAAGACAAACTCCTTTTGCAAATCAGAAGTTGATGACAACTAAGGGGAAGTAAAAAAAAAAAAAAAAACACAACAACACAAAGGGCAGAGCACAGTACCTCAGAGGCAGGTGAATTCTCAGGGAGATCAATTTTAGGAAAGAAGATACAAAAGGTTCTAAGGATCTGGACATTCTGTCTTCAAAAAGCAGGTATGTGCATATACCACTTCACAAGACTTTGTACATTCCATAGGAACACACTCTTAGTTCCAAAGATCATCTGATTTCATATTGTGCAACAAAGGATTAACTTTACATAAGAGAGGCTTGGTCCTTAGTTCCTGTGAGGAAATACCTAAGCCCTTGGAATCCTTGGAATATCCTGCTTGATCAGACCTGACAAGGGTCTTTGCTAACCCAGGCAGCTCAGCCCTTGGGAGGGTGTCCTTGTCAACAAGGTGATTTATGGTAGGGGTTCTGGACCAAGTGCTATCAGCTAGACCTCTGCAAGACTGGAGACTGAAGGCCAGCCGTGCAGGCAGCCAATCAAGTCTATGTCCACAGAGGCCCCAGGAACTCTGAACATGAAGGCTTGGATGACTTTTCCTATTTGGCAATAACCTTATAAAGATATAGATGAGGAAAACATGATAATCATCAAACCAAACACACCTAACAAGAGAACTTCAGAACACTGGAAGCAAAACCTGACAGAATTGAYAAGCAAAACAGACAAACCAAAAATAAGGCAGCATCTCACTCTGAATAATAAACAAAGCAAGTAGAAAGTCAGCAGGACACAGGAGACTGGAAAAGTACCAACTTCACTTACATTTCACATTCACTCATCAGCAGCAAGCTGTACATCCAACTTCAAGAGTACATGCAGGGGAGGGGACTAGGAAAGGCTGCAGAACCAACTGGTCCTAACTCTCCAGCCTGGGATCTGTATACCCAGCCAGGGTAACTCCACACCACGCACGACCACAAGACTGGGGACGTACGTAGAATAAGTCACACTCAGTGTGTATATTATGCCAAAATACTTTCTACTGTCATGCATAACTAAAAAAAAAAAAAAAAAAAAAAGTTCACATAACATTTTCCACAAAAGATCATATGCTAGGGTGTAAAGCAAGTACCAATAAATCCAATATATTTACCAACCACAACAGAATTGAATTAGGAATACTTCAGGAGAAAATTTAAGAAATATCCAAGCATTTAGAAATTAAAGAGTACACTCCTCTGGCCAGATCTCCCCCAAACCCCCAAACCCCAGCCCCCACACCCTACTGGGGACAAAATTCAGAGACACTCTAACACAGAGCTACATCCCCAGTCCTTATTTATTTATTTATTTATTTATTTATATTTTATTTTGAAAGAGTCTTGCTAAGTTGCCCAGGCTGGCCTTGAACATTCAATACCCCAGCTTCAACCTCCAGAGCATCTGGGATTACAGGCACGACCACGTTACCTAACCCAAAGAGATCAGTTTTGAACAATCATGTGTGGTGACACACGACCAGTCAGGGTCACTCCAGGTGAATGGGGCTGGCATGAAATAATCACATAGAGGGGCTGGGGATGTGGCTCAAGTGGTAGTGTGCTCGCCTGGCATACTTGTGGCCCGGGTTCGATCCTCAGCACCACATACAAACAAAGATGTTGTGTCCGCTGAAAACCAAAAATTAAAATTCTCTCTCTCTCTCTCTTTAAAATAAAAAGAAAAAGAAAAAGAAATAATCACGCAGAGACAGAGAAATGCCTTTTCTTTGGTTCTGGGACGGCTCCTCTGACCCAGCTCCCACAAAGGAGGCAAGGCAGGCAAGGAAGGGAGAAAGAAGCCTGGAACCCGGTTTTATTGGGGAGGCCATTCAAATGAGGCAAGGGGTAGGACTACAAGGAACAGGTGAGTGCAGCCCAACCCCACCAGGTGACGCCTGCTCCTGGAGCCACGCCTCCTTACCTGAGCTGAGGCAGGGCCCAAGTTACTGTGGGCGGCAATAATTGTTCAGTTTCTCTTGCTCAGGACTTAAGGGCAGGTTTCCAGAGTGGCTCCCAACAACCCTGTGTTAAAAAGAAAATCACATGGGACAATATTTAAACTGACTAGAAACAAATAAGAGCATTACCTAAATACTCCTAAAATAGTAAAGGAAATTCATAGCTTTAAATCAAAAGAAAAAGATCATTTCAGCACTCTCAAATCACTACTCTAACTTTCCCACTTGAGAAACTTTATAGTTTCTCAAGAGAAACTATAGAAAGAGAAAGTGAAACCCAAAGCAGCAGACTGAAAAAAAACTAATAAAGACCAAGGTGGAAATCAATGAACTAGAAAACAGAAAAGTAATTTAAAAAGTCAGTGAACCCAAATGTATTTACTTGAAAAAAATCAACAAAAATGAAAATATTAACTAGAGCAACCAAGAAAAAAGAAAGAAATTACCTAGGTCAGGAAAAAAGAAAAAAAAAAACAAATCTGTGAGAGTGCGGAGTACAGCTTAGTGGCACAGCGCTTGCCTGCATACCTTGTGGGAAGCCATTCTCACATATGATTTGAGTTACCTCCCTGGCTGGGTGAGAGGCACTTAGACACAACTGTGWCAGAGCCTTCCCCACCCTGTCCCAGGTTCGAGGGCTTGTCCATGTGGAGGTGTGCCTGACCACTGACCCAAAGACCAATCACTGACCCTGACCTTGGAATGCTGCCCCCCTCGACCTTCATTGGATAGAATTTTCCCCTGAATTTTTTGTTCCCCAATAAAAGGCCACTCCCTGGCGTGTCCCCCCCCCCCCGCCTTGTGTTTACCTCGATGGAGGCAGGAGCTAGGAGGAGCCATCTCTGAGCTGGGCAATAAAGGTAACGAGAATTACATCTCTTTAATTTTAAAACTCACTAGTTAGTTTTTATGCTTCAAACCTCTATTATGAAGCTAGCGTGCTGGTCTCGTGGTTGAAGATACCTGGCTTTGGTCCCCACTACAACAAAAGCTAAAAGCAGAAATAAGCGGGTGACTGAGTGTGGTGATGCACTCCTGTGACCCCAACCACTCAGGAGCTAGGCAAGAGGACCCCAAGTTCTGAACCAGCCTCAGCAACTTTGCCAGAGTGTGTCTCAAAATTAACATTAAAAAGGTTGGATCCTGGCAGCTGGCAGGGCTGGCGAGATGAGCCGGGTTCCCAGGAGCTGGCTGCAGGAATAAACTGAGAAACGGGAAGCCAAGGACACACAAACATGAGTTTCTCAGGTGGAGGGTGGGCCTACTCTGGGACCTTAAGGGTCAGCTCCACGCTGGACAGTGCTAGAAGGAGAGAGTGCATCCAGAACCCCTCTATTTATTAGGGAAAAGACATTAGATAGAWTATCCCACCAAATAAGGCAGGGGATAGCATTTCAGAAAGGGAGATGGCCCAATCCCACTGGATAACACTCACGCCCAGGGCTGAAGACTCCCTTGCCAAGCAAAGGTAAGGCCCACTCCCACTTGCTTTGCACAGCGTGTGACTGCCAGGTTTCTGTTCTCGYGACTAAAAGGCTCAGGGGTCACTCTAGTCAAACTGGGCTGACTGGGCTGCACGAAATAACCACACGAGAGACACAAATACCTTTTTCTTTGGGGTTGCTGTGATGGCTCCTCTGACCTTAAGGGTCTGCAGAAAGAGAGAGAGGGAGAGCACGCCCTGACCCCTTTTATTGAGGGAAGCTATTCAAATGAGGCAAGGGGTCAGGTTTCAGGGGGCTGAGTCTGTGTCTTCATGATGTCCACTGTCAGCAGGTTGACTGACACCTGGGTAGGCCACACCCAAGGGCACAGTAAGAGAAGGGGACACACACAAGACACTTCCGTGCAAGATTCTATCTTAAACAGAGCAAGGGGTTATATTACAAAGGAACAGGTGAGCATAGCCTCACCCATGGGCTGTAGCAAGACACACCCAAGAAGGGTGCCACATTTCTGCAACTGAGAACCTCAGCCCCCAGCTGAGGACTGTAACTCAGTCACGTGTAAGGTTGGCCTCCCACATGTGACGTGCGATGCCAGTTCAATACCTTCATTACTCAAGGCCGGGGATGGGGGGGTGCTTTACTCCTGCTCAGAATGGGCCCCGACAACTGGGGACATAGCTCAGTGGTAAAGTGCCCCCCAGTTACCCAAAAAAGAAAGATGACATCATCAAGAATTGAAAGGTTTACAAGATAATATCACAAACAATTTTATGCCATAAACAAAAAATAGACACATGAAACTACCCCCACATAAAAAATTATCTTTCTAGGCTGCAGGAAGCCATCTGTGAATTACTTGAGGGTCTTCTCTTGGTATGGAGATTTAGGTTTGGCACCGCAAACTATCATGGCTCTCCTGTGGCAATAGATTGCCCAATGCACATGACCTTTATGTCCACTCTCCTAGGAAGACCCCTCATAGCAGCTCTGGAGATGGGTGTAACCGTTGGGAACTGGACAGCCCTCCTTTAACCTTTTTTGGTGAAGGAAATTCTATGGAGAGTTTTTGATTTTCCTAATATAAATAAAGCAAGCACAAGCTCCACTTGGCCAGTGGTCTAGAAGCTCAATCCATGTGATAGGCTTGCCAGTCCCGCCCCTGCTTTTGAAATCATTTTCTGTGTCCTGTGGTTTTTTTGTTCTTCTACTTTTCCTAGCTTTTCTCAGCCACCCCATTCCAATAAGGGGAACCCCCATTTCCACCAACTGTGTGGGATGYAGGCAAGACTAGGTATTGGGAGCCACTCTGGACAGAAGTCCTGAGTAAAGGGTACTGAACAGTCATTGCACCCACAATACACTGGGCTTCACCTCCACTCGGATAKGGAAGGTGTGGCTCCAAGAGTGGGTGTCACCCAACAGGGTTGAGCTACACTCACCTGTTGCTTTGTAATCCCACTCCTTTGGCCTTTTTGGGATAGAAGGAATATTCCATGGAACCTCCCCCGTGCGTCCACTGTGTAAGAACAGAGAATTCCAGTGGTTCCGTCTCTTTCTACAGACCCCTGTGGTCACAGAGCCATCCCAGATTTTGAAAGTGTACTTCTTCTGTTTCTGTGCTTTCTATGCCATTTTCTTAAGTTATTGGAATAGTCATATTTTGTGAACCCAGCATTAGGTCACCAGCTCTGATAGATGGCAATAACTAGGCATTTGTCCCTTGAATCAGCATTTGCCTAGAGACAAATAAGAGTTTTAAAAAATTTGAATGGCTATATAGTAACTACAGAAGTTGAACTTGTAACTGAATTAGGAACACTGCAGGAATACTATGTGAAAACTCATCTCACGTAGAAAAGCCGAGGTCCAGTCGGCTTTACAAAGCCATTAAGAATCACTAAGCTTTAATTCGGACAACAAAACCACAGGCAGTAGAGGAAAAGAACTCTGCAGACCAATATCCCTCATGAACACAGGCGACAAACAACAACATACCAGCAAAATTGATTGTTATGGGCTGACTTCAAAACTCCTCACCCACTTAGCCCATTTTGTTCAGATACCCCACCTTAAATGAAGTTGGCCCCCCTCCCACCTGGTGCCCACATCTGCCCCCTACACCTCCTAACCACAAGTTCCTGTCTTGACAGCACCRCTGTATAAAGACATACCACTTGTTCCTCCCTTCTGAAAATGTAATTTCTGAGGATGTGACTTTCTTTGATATAAAATCTGGTAATTTTCCACTTTTTTGAAATGTATGTTGTGATTACAATTGCGTCTTCTGTCCCTACTTTTTGCAGTTTTTAGTTTTATAAGCCTGTCCTTACCCTCAACTGGAGTTGAGATGTGGCAACAGATTTAGATCTGTGTTGCTGCCAGCAATACAGGTTGCATGTTCTGCGTTTACATTGACCTAATGAATCAATCAGAATGTGTCAGAACATTATGAGGCACAATCTACCAAGAATTATAAACTATGGCTAAGAGGGACTGTGGGAATCCTGGGTGGTGTATTGCTGCAAGTCATCCATGGGCTGCGTGTGGGCCACCACACATGGAGCCTAGTAAACAGGAACATGTGGGGTTTGGGAAAGGCAGTGGACATGTGCTCTGGTTAACTGCCCTCACACATTATGAATTCCTATCCTGCTCTGCCAAGTCCCAAACAGCACCTGAGATGGGTGTGACCTGTCAAGATGTCAACCAACTTGCTGACTGCAAGATATAACCAAGGAAGACTCCGCCCTTGAAACCTCATCCCTGCCTTTGATGTCCTCCCTTGAATAAACCCCTGGAGCCCTCCTTCTTTGTCTAACTCAGCCTCTTGTGTGGACTGGATTTATCAGGGCTCCATTTTTGGAAATATATTTCTATCCTTTTTGTCTTTTGTTCTTCACTATTTTTTTTAATATTTTTTAGATGTAGTCGACACAATACCTTTATTTTACTTATTTACTCATATGTGGTGCTGAGGATCGAACCGAGAGCCTCACATGCTAGGCGAGTGCTCCACTGCTGAGCCACAACCTCAGCCCCTTCACTTTAAGTTCTCAGGTGGCTTATGCCCTCGTTGGCATGAAGAAGGACCCCACAATGAGACGCTGGCCGTGGCTTCCCTGAAGTGTATAATGTTAAAATCAATTCATAAGTAAAGCATTCAGAACTAAGAACAGATGAGAAYTTACTCAAACTAGTAGAGGGTATTTATGAAAAACCAAAACTAACAACAAACTTAATAGTAAAAATCCAGAACGTTTTTTCATTAGAGCTAAGAACAAAGTTGCTTTCAACCTTTCCATACATCACTATACTAGAAAGTCTAACTAGTTTGGTAAGGTAACAAATAAGTAAAGGCATCAAGATTGGAAATGCATAGTAAAACTGTCCTTATTCCTAGACAATATGATCTCTATATGGGAAATCCTAAGAAGAATGAAATGCCAAAAACTGAGAGAAAACCTTTGCAAAGCATAGAATTAGTACTCAGACTATATAAAGAATTCTCAAAAATCAACAATACAAAAATAAACCTCTGAGAATACTGGTAAAGGACTAAAGACATATTCACCAAAGATGATACACAAGGGCAAGTACATGACAAAATGCTTACCATAGTTAGCCAATATCAGACACAGACCAAAACCCCAAAATACTGCTTTATGCCTCTTACAAATGCTGAACTCCCACATTGTCACAAGCTGTCCCTGGGCTRTGTGTGGACTACTGTGCATATCAGCCTCCCGAGGGGATCAGTCTGGCATTGGGAACTCCCTATGCACACCCCCCGCCCCAGCATGACCACCTGCTACACTGAACTCCCCCTCAAGCTCGGCCAAAGATCCACCCAGCACCTGAGATGGGTGTGACCTGCCAAGATGTCATTCAACTTTGGACTACAAAGACTCCGCCCTGGAAACCTTATCCCTGCCTTTGACGAACCCCTTAAATAAACCTCCAGAGCCCTTTTCCCTTTGCCTAGTTCCAGAGCCCATGTGGACCGGACCTATCAGGGGCTTGGCTTTCTTGTAAATATATTTCTGAGTATTTGTGCTTTGTTATTTGCTAATCATTTGAGATTTTAAGTTTTAGGGTGAATTGGATTCCCCTGGGCAGGAAGAACCCCCCAAAGAGACGCTGGCCATGGTCTTCCTGATACCACAGGCCAAGTACAACCACCCTGGGAAACACTCCAGAGTTCCTCAAAAAGTCAGACATGTACCAACTGCATAATCCAGTCATCCGACTTCCAGAGATGAGCCCCAGCGAAAGAAAAATACCTGTGAACACAAAGACCTGATCAACAGTATTCACAGGAGCCGGACTTCAGTAGCCAAAGGTGCTGACCCAGSGGGAATCCACTCGTCCACACCCCAAGGGCGACATCAAAATGCTGCGGGAAACCAACCAGACAGAGGGCCCTCGAGAGTCAACAGGAGGCCCACACCTGTAACCGCAGCTACCCAGCGGCCCAGGCAACCTGCGGGCGCAGGTCAGGGGTGGTGCTGGCCCCACCGGCCCAGGCCCTGGCTCCAGCCCCAGCCCCAGCCCCAGAAGCGAAGTCCAGGCTGCGGGCTGGGGCGGCAGGAAGGTCCACGGTTGTGCCTGGGCTGAGAAGGGACTGCGGCCTGGGGCCCGTCGGTGGGGACGAGGCAAGGTTAAAATCCCACTGTGGCCACGGCTGCACGACCCTGGACACACGTCGAACCCTGGAGTGGCTCGGGTGGTGGGCCTTATAGTACTTCAATTAAACCTCAGCAAAGTCTGAAAAGAAACTTCGGCCGCTCAAAGGGAAAGACGAATGAAAARGCATCAACCGGGGTCAGGGGGATAGCTCCGGGGTCCAGCCTGGCGCAGGGTGGGGGAGACCGGAGGAGCRTGGGCAGGACCGCCGGGAACCACCTCCTGGGGCCTGGAACCGCCTGCTGCCTCAGTGGCCCACCGCAACACCCCCGCCCCTACGAGGGCCGAATCCAGGGGCGCTTAACCACCGAGCCACACCCCGGCCCTTYACTTTTATTTGGGGCTGAGCTGCTGAGGCTGGCCTCCAGCTGGCCCCTGCCTCCTTCGGCCTCGCCTCCCCAGCAGCCGGACCAGCGACGCCTCTGCGCCAGCTTAAGGCGACGGTGCCATCCGCCCGCAGGTCGGGCCCTGGGTGGGGTCCTAGACCCTGGTCCTGCGCAGCCCACTCCACACGGGGGTCCCCGCCCGCCTGCCTCCCGCCACTCCGGCGTCGCCGCTCACCTGCCCGTCGCCTCCACACCCGGAAGTCCCTGCGCCGGCCGCGACGCCGGGAAGGGGCAGAGGGGCTGGAGGCAGCTGCACAGAACCGAGCAGGCCACGCCCGCCGCGGCCTTCTGCCGAGAGGGACCCGGGACCCAAGATGGCAAACCCCTCCCGCCCTTCAAGGCCTTATCCTTCCGCTTGCCCGGGAGGGTCTGCGACGCCGTGCTAACCGCGAACGTTCTCGGAGGCCAGCGCCTGTCCGAGGCCGACGGGGCGCCGGCGGCATCTTGCRCGTCCGGCCGGGGAGGAAGAAAGATGGCGGCTCCCTAATGACGCCAAGGGAGCGGCCATCGTGGAGGACGGCGGGTCCGTACACAGGGCACGCTAGCGCCTGCGACCCGGAAGAGATGCCGGGTCGGCGCGCGAGTCGCACAGAAGGGCGTGCGCAGCGGGCAAGGAGGGCATCCTCGGTTGTGACGCAGGCGTACGTGGAGCGCGAGGAACCAGGATTGGGTGCCAGGCGAAGCCGGGAATGGGCGGGGGCCTGTGAATCGCGGGCTCCTGCTGCGGGCTGTGCAGCTGCCTCCAGCGGGGAAGGGGCTGAGGGTCAGGAGCTGCAGATTGTCTGTCCTTCCGGAAGCAAGCCGAGATGGCGGCGGGCTCTGAGCACGGGCAGTCAGGAGGCCGCGGTCCTAACAGGTTCTGCCTTTGTTTTTAAGCCCACTCAACCTCCGGCGGGCGCGGGCCCTTCCTGTGATCCTAGCGCATTGCGAGGCGGAGGCTGGAGGGGCACAAGGTCAAATCCAGCCTCAGCAACTYAGGAGACTGGGGATGTGGCTGAGTGGAGGAGCAGTAAGGGTTCGATTCCCAGTGCCCAGGGACAGAAATAAGGACACAAAAAAAGCCTGTATTACAGTTGTCAGTATAAAATTTAACTGTATTTTCAGAATACCAGAAAAAAAAAAAAA